GAAGAACAAAATAGAAGTAGTTTAATACGTGGATCCCTTAATTGTTGAAGGATATGCATTAACTCAAAAATCCTGAAAGATTTCATGAATAACCCTGCGATAAAACATCCATCATGACTAAGTTCCCCTCCAATAAATTTAATCCCCAACACTACCCTCCCAATTCCCTATGGAAACAACACCCCATAATGTTTACTACCATCAAACGAAGACCAAAAGATCACGATCTTCCGAATATTCAATTCAAGGATCAATCTTGGATATGTCTCCTGAATGAAGTCAATCACTTCAGCCACCTCCTCTGAATCCCATCCAATGGTCACATCATCTAGATATCAAGCATGAAGAAAAAGATTAAAATTGTCTTTGATCTTATGCATAAGAGGGCGTACACAAGAGAAAAAAAGAGAATTGCCACAACATGTAGTTTTGTCGCACTTTAGTAGGTGACATAATATGTCCATCCCAAAGTACAATCTCGCTACCTAATCATAAAAAAAAATTTAATAAAAAAAAAAATAGATCGACATTTCACCCTCACCTCACACAAATAGATGTTAATAGATGTTAAAGAACGCATATCCAAATTTCCATATGAATGTCATATCTCATATCTATACTCTATTTGTATTTTCTGTGTGCAAAATGGCTTCTAGCAGAACCTCATACCACAACTCCAAAGTAAAGTCTTTGAGATATTTAAATTTGTAGCTATTTAAATATTAGGTGAGGCTATGTCCTATAGGATTATATAGTACCCAAATATTAATTCAAATTTTTACTAAGATGAATTGAAATAACAAGCTATGCTAATACTCCCTATATATAGTTTACTGACTCATAGTTTCTGAATTCACCATTCACTTTTAAAACTAGTTAATTTTATTATATCCATTTATTCCATCAACCAAACTTTGCCGAAATAGCTTTTGAATAAAGACTGAACAGTCCATTCAAAATTAAACTTCCATTCTGAATAAGTTCATCACTTTTTCAGTAACAACTCACAGTCAGAAAGATAAGCAACAGACAAACAATAGCACGTTCAGTTCATAATCATTTTGTTTCTTTAAAAGGAAAATCAATATTTTTAAATGACCACCTTTTTACAACACAAATTCATCGGTTCTTTTTGTTATATAGGGGGAAATGATTTTTAGGGTTTTATTTGTATTCATTATTCAAAAAATTATTTGTTAGTTTATTGTTGGTAGGTGTGTGGTTCATAGGGTTTTAATCTTTCTTTTTGAAGTTCAAAAATCATATAAAGTAGGTTCAGCTTTTGACCAGACTCACTGCAGTTGTAGAAGTGTACTGATGAACTTTTCTCAATTATTTTTGGTGGAGATTCCTATTTTTCTAGTTACTATTGCTTAGGTTTGAAGGAAAATTTTGCATGCCACTTACCCTTTCACTCCCCAGCATTACATTGTTTCTTGTCTTTTAAAGTTTCCCTTTTCTTTTATATATTCCGTAATTTTGCACGCATATGAAGACACTACTCGTTTGAGGCAAGAAAGATCACAATAAGCCCTCAGGGTTGAGTTTATACAAATGATATATCGTTAAAGAAATTTTTACTATCTCATTCAGCAAGCATGTCATCTTTGAGACGCATCCTTCATAAATCTGAGAAAATATTAGAGTAGACGGGTCTGACATGTCATAATAGAGACTTCATATTTAAAATATTGGTTTATTATGGGAAAAATTCTAATTCCTACATAGGTTGAAAAAATAGAACATTTAAAAAATTTATATAGAATAACATTAGTCCTCTTACAAAAATAATAAAAGATGTGAGTTTAAAATTTTGATTTATTTAAAAAAAAAAAATCAAACAAAACGGATATATATATATATATATATATATATATATATATATATATATATATATATATATATATATATATATATATATATATATATATATATATATATATATATATATATATATATATATATATATATATATATATATATATATATATATATATATATTTGTGACAAGTATAATATATAACAAAGTAAAACAAAATAAAAAACACATTAATCAACTAGCACATGCATCTTAGCGGAGAAGCATATTTTTCTTGATGAAGTAGTTACTAATTTAATTAACAAAATTAATTTGCCAAAAAAAAGTTGAAGTTGTGATGTGCAAAAATCTTACTGCCATCTGCCTGTGGTCCCATTTTCTATAATTTGAGTGATGCTTTTAAGAACCTAAATTATTGGTCCCTCATCTATAATGAAGCTAGCTGCTATGCTCTATCATATCTAGTTAATCCAACTGATCTCACACAAATAGCGTACACCACATATTTTTAAAGTTATTACCACTTAATATCAACTACAACATTTTCTTCCACAACATCCCATTTTAGTTTCTTGGTACCAATCTAACTATATACATAATTATAATCAAGAATATATATACTAGACAATATAATTCAAAAAGTATATGCCACAAAGATTTTTTTATATACCATATTTTTGGTTTCAACATAAAAATGTTTTGCACACTCTATTAATAAACTGCGTTTACTCACTTAAAACCGTTACTAAATAGAAAGAAACAAAAATAGTATAACACCTAAAATTTGTCATGGTTTCAAAACATGAGTAAAAGTGAGAATTTTTTTTACAGTATTGGGTTGTATTTACCATAATAACTAACAATCTAAAAAAATTTCAGAAATCACTAACAATTCAATCTCGTGTCGTCGGACCAAATGGCGACACAGGCCAATCTCAAAGCAATTCGTCAGAGCAAATGGCGACACCGCTCTACTTGGATGAAAGTCGCCAGAGCAAATGGCGACTCTGGGCTAAAATTTAGGGTTTTGTTTTTTTCTTGTTTTTAATTTTTAATTTTAATTATTTTCTTATTAATATTTTCTAAAAAAAAAGATTAAATATATTTTTAATAAATGTTTTAATTTATATAAATATTAACATTTTAACTACATTAAATTTGTTATTAAATTTATAAATATTTTAATTACCTATTAATAAATATTTTAATTATGTATTAATAAATATTTGTTATTAAATTATGTTGTTTGTTATTTATAATTAATTGAAATTTAAATAATCTTAAGAAAATATAAAAATATAGAAATGTTAAAAAAAAATATAGAAATAATAAAATATATTAATTTAAAATCTAATGAAAATTACAATTACAATTGAAAAAAAAACTAATGGCCGATTCTATTCAATTGACCACCGATGCCACATTGCAGGGAATGCGCGTTGCGACGAGGTCTACGACGATGTTGTTGTGGTGTGTCCGGTCTCTGTGTGTTGAATTGTGGAGGAGCGTATGATTGGGACGACCTGGCGTATCAGATAGATTTTACAGCATTTGACCCCAATATTTAATGATGTTGCAAATATTTAATCCTAATTAAAATGTAATATATGAACAATAATTTAAGATGTATGTGGAATAAATATTAGCAAAAATTGTTTTTTCATAAAATATATTAGATTAGAAATTTAAGTATAAATAAAAAATAACATAAATATTTATTATACGATATTAAATTTGTGGTATAATAATAATAAGATTTAATTACAGTTTGATCTTCTATTTTATCTGATTCTTTTGATTTCGTATTTTAAATTTAAACAATTTTAATTTTTTATTTATTTTATATTTAAAATTAGAGATGTTTTTATTTTTTAAATGATAAATTATTTGTGAAACATGACAAAATGATAATTTATCCTAATAATAATAATAATAATAATAATAATAATAATAATAATAATAATAATAATAATAATAATAATAATAATAATTTAATTTTTATATAACAATAATTTTATATGAATATTTAATCTGATCATAATATTTAAATAATTTAGTAGATATTAAATATTAATTTAATATCTGATTTTTCTTTACCATAAAAAAATACAATTTATATTAATAAATCTTATATTAAATGGACCTTATTTTAAATATTAAATGGACTTAAGGTAAAAGATTTTGCCTTCTGTTTTTATCTTTCTCCCTTTGAGCCAACAAATCCTAGTCAAATATATTGAAACTTGCTACTATTTGCTATGCCTTTCAACACAGAGTTAAATAATTACTTATTGATAAAAGTTAATCATTAAGTCAGTGATTGTTCAGCATAAATATAGAATGAAAAAATCGAGGAACTAACGTACCACTATCAGTTTTTTGTTCATGTGTCACTTTTGAAAGATGCCACATGGTCAAATAAAAATACAACTTTTTAATTAAATTTATTTTTTATATTTTACATTTACATGCTGTAAAATTTTCCAACATCATTTCCTTACCATAAAAGTCATTTTTCTAGTATAAACAATTCATTATTCCACTAAAGGAAAAAGTTGAAATCTAAGACTTGAAAAGCATCTTCTCAAGTAATTAATATTTTAGTGCTTTTTTGAGAATGACTTTCATTTTAGGGTATTTTCTATTTCTACTAGTTCCTGCAGCTTCAACATTCATTTCTTCTCTTTCTAGCTTATAAGCTATGGTGGAAACCATAGAAACAGCTTCCTGAATTTTTCTCTTACAAGTAAGCCACTTCTCTTAATCTTACTCTTCTCAATCTTCTCTCATATCTTTTCACTAAAAACCTATTTTTAATTTGTTTCAAAAATTGCTTTTCTCTTCAATTATGGATAGAACAGAACTTCCATGTCATGGAGATTATTTTCCTTTCATATACAATCCTTTTTGTCTCTAATTTTTTTTTCTTTTTATTTTATTTGCAAATAACTGTGAAAAACAAGAATTATTCATAGTTCACAGTTCAAGAGTGCAATAATTTTTTAATTTATTTTTATTTAATTATTACACAAATTTTTTAATTCATATTTTGATTGGGAAAAAATAACACAAATTTCTATAAACTATGAGATAATTTTTTTTCTTTTTCATTGATATTGATAGGGAAATTTCTATATATTTTGAAGAGTAAAGTTTATGATGATTTGATGAAAACAAGGTGATGTCAAGTTCAAGGGAAGATAATTATCAAGAAAAGCAAGAAGAAGGTAATAATAATAGTATGAATAACATTGAAAAAAGTTCTAAAGCACCTTCAAGTAGTAGTTCAAGACAATGGTCATCATCAAGTTTAAGAAATCCAAGAATTGTGAGAGTATCTAGAACATTTGGAGGCAAAGATAGGCATAGCAAAGTTTGCACAATAAGAGGTTTAAGAGATAGAAGGATTAGGCTTTCGGTTCCGACCGCAATTCAGTTGTATGATCTTCAAGACAAGCTTGGTTTAGGACAACCAAGCAAAGTTATAGATTGGTTACTTGAAGCAACGAAATTCGATATCGATAAACTTCCTCCACTTCAATTTCCTCAAAGCTTTTCGCAATTTCATCATCATGTTCTTCCACAAACCCTACTTCCCTTTCATGATCATCAATCAAGTAATGTTTTGTCTCATGAGCTTTCTCTTGGTCCTATGTATGATCCTAACTCTTCTACATTTGTTGGAATTCAAAATCTCATGACGAGATCGAAGTTTTGGGATGTGGATTCGACAAGAGTTGGTAAAGGTAAAGAGGTTGAAAGAGAGTACTTTTGTGAAAAGGGTAAGTGGATCAAAACAAATGATGAAGAAAATCAAGTTGGAGAAGCTAGTTACAACAATTTTCATCAAGTTTCAACTCAAAAGCTTTTTCCTATGGAAACTCAATCAAGTTTTCTAAACAATGCTATGTCATATAACAACAACTACCATTCAGAAGTTTCTAGTTTGTCTTTATCTCAATTTGGAAGTAATCATGGATTGTTCCAATCTCATAATCAACAAGTAGATCCAAATCAAAGTAATGGAAATGCTTTTCAATTTCCATTTTCTTTTCAAAATTCACAACTATTGTTTGGTCCTTCTTCTTCTACACAACCATCGTCATCACTTTTGAATAATCCTTTTATGAACAACTCACTTGAAAATGATCCAAGAGTTCCATTCAACCATTTTCAATTCTCAAATTCAAGCTCTTCTCAAGCTATGCCTCATTCTCTCATTCCATCTTTTCATCACCCGTTCAATCCGCCTCCCGTTAGACCTTTTCCGATTCCATTTAGCTCGAAGCTTCTCGACTCGGATAACAATGACACTAGCAACCAGATGGATGGTAGGGGTTGTCGCGATCGTTCTTGAAACTCGTTTTTGATTCTATGATGCAAATGTGGTGTGAGCAAGCAACAAGTACTTGGTGTGGTCCATGGATATATAATTCTCATAGCAAAGGTAAATGAGCATACATGCCTATATGGATCTAAATCGCGGTTACAGTTATATTGCGACCGCAATTACAGTTGTGGACCGGACCGCAATTTAGCAGATGCATTTTGGTAAGTATGGCAATGCTATATTTTGTGTGTGAATCATTGTGATTTTTGTGATACACAAATTTGAGCTTTTTGTATTTTATGTTAGTAGTAATGACTTATGGTTTGAATCCTATTCATTCTTCTGAAACTCTTTAAAATATCTAGCTCAAGTCTTTGAGATGATCTTTATGATTTTGGTTTAATTTGTATCTTGTGTTCAAAAACGAAAAAAGAATGCACAAAATGTATGACTTGGAAGAATTTAATATGAATATTAGCTTAATTGCACTTCTATAAATGCATGTGCTAACTAGAAAGTTAATGAAAGATCAAAGAATTAGGTTGAAAAGTATGATGCAAATATTGCTTTTGTTCAATTAATGAGTACTCTCTCTTCTCTTATTTCTTATTCTAGAACCTGTGTAGTTAATGGCTATAGCAGAAGCGCAGCTCCTTAAGCCATTATTGTTTTAAAGTCATGACCATCCAACATGTTTTGCAGCTACCGTAAATTATCCTAACTATTGATTTTTTTAGGTTGAATTTAAGTGTGAGTGGTTAAACTTTACGTCAATGGTGGGCGAGTAAAATGTTGGATAAATAAAAAAAGTGATCTATATACTTATTGTTTTAAGGTTTTGGGTGAAGAAAATGTATTTTCTCCTCTTGTTTGATTGGTTCTGAGTATTAGCCTTGTTGTTTACTCATGGTTTTCTAAAATGGTATTAGATTCTTGGTTCGACGTGGGTAACGGAAGCCGAATCCTGTTTTAGGATGTGTAAGACTCATAATTGTGAGAGAAATTGTTAGGTTAAATGTGAGGGATAAATATCATATCAAATATGAATATATAAAATGTAAGATATATAAATGAAATAATCCATATATTTGACGTCTCAAAATTTCGAATATAGATGCGTTATCATCTTCTCCGGTGATTTGGGAGCATTTGTTGCTTGGTTGCTCATAGGTTCTCAAAACTATTTTCAAGAAATGATATCACATTCAGGATTCAGCTTGGAAGAGAGAGTGAGCTGTGAGACTCATATTTGTTGGAAAGATTTTTGATTTTAAATAGAAAAGTTTTACTTTCACATCGGCTAAGGAGTAAAATATAAAATATATAAAAGAGAAGATTCATATACTTAAAAGACTAAAATTTTGAATGAAGATGTGGTATTTTCCTATTTTTTTATTTTAGAGCATTGATCTCGTTGTTGGTTTCTGCTTTTTTAATATACCTAAAAATGATATTAGAGTATTACCCCGACTTAGTGGAAAAGCGTGAAAGCATGATTATCATGTGTGTAGAATATATATGAAACTCATACTTAAGAGAAATTCTTAAATTTAAATATGAGTGGTTAAATTTTATATGGTCTATAATAATATTTAATATTATTATATATGATATAAAAGAGGTGAACTAAATATTTAATATTTTAAAATTTTACATGAAGACTCCTCAGCCTTGCATTATTTTAGTAGTTTTTTTTAAGCAAGGATATATTAAAAAAAGAGTATTAGAAGTTCTCTAACTCTTTATACAAATAAAATTCTGATATAATAAAACCGAAAGCAAAAGAAAATTCAAACCACTTAAAACTACAAAAAGCACGACAAAGGTGGCTGATTAAAACAGAAAAAGTTACAGTTGAAATATGAATTTTCTCAAAAAAAAACCACTTCTAAGATGAATTTAATATCCCAAATTAAATCAGAAAAATTGCAACAAACTCCTTTAAAGAGATAGCCTCACCAGTCAAATATTCCAAACCATCAACATCCATACTATCCCCAAATAACGGTTCTTCAATCCTCTACTTATTAATTCTTAGGTTAGTTATTTTCTCTTAACGGATTCAACATTTAACTCCTTCTTATTAGCTCAAGCCAACTCAACTATCCTACTTCTAATGGCTAATATTGTATAGGTAAATATTCTAAAATGTATAAAAGGAAGATAGTGCAGTTAATAAAAAAAATTTGAATGACAAGTGCAATTGATAACTGAATAAGATTTGAAAAATTTTGGTATTACTATAAAGCTTTAATTAGTTTTTAATTAGTTTCTCACATATTTGAGTACATAAAAAAATAATATTCTATATATACCATGAAAGATTTTCACATGTTTGAGTAAACATTAAAATTAGGTATGTAGCGACAGTGATTGCAGTCGTTGCGTGTAAATTAACCACAATTTTATTAAAATAGAAGACGTGAATAACATACCAATATTTATATCTGTCAAAATCGTTTTGTCACAACTGTTTTCGAGTCGCAAAATGTTTTTTAAAACCATGATATAAACCTAAATGAACATATTGCAAGTAAAGAAATGTTACACAACTAGTTGGTACTATATGTTAACATTTGTCTGTTGTACAAAGTTCATTATTGTTTCTGTTTTCAATGTTTAGAACAATACAGCTTTAAATAGAGACCACAGTCGAAAAGCTATTTTCTTATAAATTTTTATTGGACAAAGACTGTAACCACTGACACATGTGTTATTTCTAGAGCTAACTCAAATTATTACTACTATAATTTTGATTTCAAAGGAAACGCTTTGAAATACAGTTATGGAAAAAGTGCAAGAATTTAACATACCTACACTACATATGCATGTATCTTATGGTTTGTTTGTTGCATGTTTTTTCATCAACATGTTCTATAGCTTCTAAATGCATGATTCTTTTTATTCCACCATAATTAATTCTCTGTTTCAAAATGGGATACTTCATCTTAAACTAGTTTACTTATATATATTGAGAATGGGAACACTTTTTTGATGACACTTTTGAGAAATAGAGTTATTCTCATGCATGCAGCTAGCATTGCATGCTGACCTAGTACTGCCATTGCATGTGACTCTATGTAGTGGAAGCTTGTAATGCAACTAACAATCATCTCTATATATGGACTTGTATATCCTCTATGAATTTTATGTGTATATAGTAAAAACATAAAGAAACAAAAAAAAGTTATATTAGCCCAAATAATAATCATCTCAAATTCATTGTTGATATACGTGTAATACAGAGAGATCAATCTCAAATTGAGGCATAGTCCTCTTCAGTTTTTTGAAATACTTAATAGGTTAACTAAAATTTAATAGTTTCAAAATAAATAAGAACTCTCTTATTTAATTATGACAAATATTTTATTAAATAATCTTTAAATATTATTTCTAACTCAAATTATAAGTCAATTTGTTGAAAAAATTTGTCTTAAATTATAAGTCATCTTATCTTCCCAATACAATATTAATGACATTTTTCTCAATATACTCTCAAATATTTATTATTATTTATTCTTTCAACTCTTTTAATTTCTCTCTCATATGTATTTATTAAAAACATCACTTTAAAATCATACATACTTTCTATATCCCATCAAATAATAACTAAATTTTTAATTTGTTTAAAATATCCAAAACTTCCTATAATACGTTTTAACAAATATAATTTTTAAACCATTTGCGGCATTCCATCTTATACACCCCTCTAACATTAAATTATATAGTTGTTTAGGTAGATAAATATAAGTGATTGATCTAAAATAAATAAATTGGTATTTATAAGTAAATTATATAGTTCTTCTAGATAAATATAAGTGACTGATCTAAAATTAATAAATTGGTATTTGTGAGAGTGATTGACCTAAATTGGTATTTATAAGATAAATATAAGCAACTGATCTATAATGAGAGAGAGAGAGACCATTATCCTCATCTTTGCACCCCAATCCCAGTTGATAGCATCTTTGTGAAGAGTAAAGGAAGCATCTATCAACAAAAAAGTGAAAAAGTGAAGAAATGTTTCCATAATCTTACGGTTATTCTGACAATGACAAGGAGGGGACATAAAATCACAAGCAGAAAACTGAATTTAAAAGCAGTACTCTGTATTCTCTGTGCACAATAATATAGCACAAGATCCAAGAATCATATTTAATTAGAGAGACTCAGGGGTTGCAGCAAAATAGGTTTTCAATCTGTCCTTTCGATGTGGCAGTATGTTCAACATCATCAAAACTTTCCTTTTCTCGTGGTCCTAACTTCTCCCCAACTAATCTTCTGAAAATAAAAATTATTCTCTTGTATTAGTTTTTGAAACCATTCATATTTTTCTTCACCCGCTACATGAATATTAATTTGCCTATAACCTCAAAAAAGTTAAGGAAGATTATTAAGCTCAATAATAACCTTCCAACTGTTCAGTACAATTAATTAAAAGAAGAAGAAATCTGAAAATTATGCATGAAAGTTAATGATGTAGCAGTGGTGAAATTTTTTCCCATGGATTATTAATTACTTGAGTCTTGACGTGGTGAAGTGAGAGAGAGAGATAGTGAAGATGACAATGAATCGGTGGTGGTTACTATAAATATTGTATATACTCAATCACGAATTTTGGAGTGGTACCATCTTTTCTATTTCATCTGAAAAATACTCATACTATTTCTTTTTCAATAGTGTTCAAAGTACAACAAGTGACAGATTCATACATCATGGAGTACATAAAAACCATGATGTTTGTTTTGTTGATTTTTAACAAGATTGGGAAACGTTTTAGACCTGTTTTTATAAATAAAGAGGATAATTTATAAAAAAAATGTCATCATGATTGGTCAACTCTAATAAATTAGAGGTGACAGTACATATATTATTTTCCATCGCGAGCGTGGGACAGTAATAATAAAATTAGATAGTATGCTACATATTACAATGATTATTTTATATAATTTTTATGAGATATGTAAAAGTTATGAGTTTGATTCTCAACCATAGTAAAGCGTATAATATTTTACGTTCTACTTATC